CGATAATTTGAGAGACCTTTCTTCGTGTTTTCGGCTTGTAGTTGTTTAATAGCAGGCGAAACACCGTACCTGTATCGCCAGCGCATCCGCTGCTTCACCATCATTGTGTGATAAGGATACTAGTTTACAACACGTTCCAAAAGGACTAAACGCTCTCAAGGTACAGCTTGGCTCTTACCATTTAGCTTAACAGATCGCCGTGATAAAGTATAACTTTATTGAACTATAACTGTACCTCGCCAAATAACTTTGGCTCAGCATTTTCCTCATTTTTTTTTTCTTCAGTCAGTTTTAACCTCAGGTACCTTTTTTGACTGGCCATTACTGATTAAGGCAGGCAAAGAGATGATATCTTTTATGCTCGAGGAAACTGTTTTCACTTAATTTGTTTTACATGTAGTCTCTTACATCTAACTCTGGATATTTAGAATTTTTACACTTATTAAGATCTTCAGTATTTAATCAAATGGTTGAAGGATAATAGTCTTGTTTGAAATGATTCCAATTGTGACTGCCTATTCAATAAATTATTTAGCTCTCAAAGGCACTGAGGGCGTGGTAGTAATTTGCGTCTGAATCTTGGAGACGCGACGAAATTTGAGAGAAACAGTTCTTTAGAGTATTATCACAGGACTCAAAATGGGTAAACAAAAAATACAGGCTATAGAAGTCTGTAGATTAGCCTGACTGTCGAAAACGTGAAAAAGCTGTACCACGCTCCCTTATTTAATCACAATTTATTCACTTGATTTGACGATTTTATTACAACGCTTCGGTTAACTCCCACTCACAACTCTCGGCTTATTCGAAGGAAACACACTCAACGTTCCGTTGTAAGCACGTGGAACAGTGCCATGTATGGGGCGATATAACACGTGCCGCATACATGCTTGGTTGGGTATGTATAAACATGTTAATTTTTTGAAAGCTTAGAATAGCGAAAAATCAAAACGATGAAAGGTTTAAGCAAGCAATGACTACTTAATGGTATTCTTTTCTCCGACAATTGAACTTCTGCTCCTAACTTATCAGTTCTACCCTAATTTTCCGAGGTTTTGGGGCCTTGGGTCGATAGGAAATCCAGGCACAGAAGACACTTAGAAGTAAAATGACTGAGCATGCTCATCCAATTCCATCTGCTCTTGTACTCTTGGCCTCGCTCTCAAGATGTAATATTCAACCCGTGAGGCGTTTGTCAATATGATTCAAATACATCAGGTGATGCTATGCATCGTGTAAAGAGTTGATTCCAAGAAGACGAATTTAACGCAGCAAATTTCTCTTCCGCAAAAACGTAGGAGGGGTTTGTGGCCTAGCCTTTGCGATTCGTTTGTGGATTATTAATTTCCCCTGTAGGGGAATCAAAATTGTGAGATAAAGCGACATCAGAGACCTTGGTAAGTTACTAAAGGACTTTAATCGAACTGTTTCATGGTTTCCAAGAGTGTATTGCGGAAACAAAATTATTCTCGAGTTCTTATCACCCTCTTGTTTGTTCGTTCGATTGTGGCATTTTTGTTTTGGTATGACGCTGTAGTCATTGTTTCGCAGAAATTGTGGACATATCATCAGCTGTGCATCCAAATTGTATCATTCATCGTCACCGAAAAAAGGGGGTAAATTTTGAGCCGACTATCAACGCTGACTCGTTCTCATTTTTCACAACAAAGAAGCAGTGTAGGTATTCCATCACTTTAATGTACCACAATAATATTTATATTATTCAAGCAGGCTGTTTCAATCTCCTACGTGCCTCCTACACGCGTCCGAAAAACTGAAAAGGCTTTGTTGAGTTATTCCTTGGCGATTTATGGTTAGTTTTTCTAAACTTGGAGAGAGACCATTACTCGATGTTAAATTTACATAGCCTTGCGCATGGAGACAAGTTAATCGGTAGATTTTACTACATATTTCATGGTTTTTCACACAAAAACTTACGCTTCCCTTGTATCAGCATTACCCAAATCCAGTCCTGATAAAAGAGCGGCGAACAAGCAATAATCTCTCTCTAAAATCGTTTTTTGGACGGAACAACCTTTCGCCATACATGTTGCAATGTTTGCTCCGCGTCTCAGAGATCTGTGCGCAAACATAAGTATCCGATTACTGGCAACTTTATCGTTAATACTTGCTTGTTTCCAATCGTCTTGGATGGCAACTGGGAAGGCGAACAAAGACACATGCAGCGACATTACACGCGTTTAGTATGTTACGAAACGACATAATAATTTGAATTGAGTCATACGCAATAATTGAAGAAGAAGAAGAAGCCTTAAAACCCTTCAACACATTAAATTTGTTATCGAAACCTATGCTGTAATTTCTATGGTTTCCAAAAGCGCGTTGCGGAAACAAATTAGTAATTTCGAATTGTTTCCACCGTTTAATTATGATGTAAAAAATCATTTTATTTCAGTTCCCGGAATGAGCTCTTTATTTCAGCAGTGAGCCGTTTTAAAGTCATTCGGCGACGTTCTCTTGTGAATGCTTTTGTCATAACATCGAGTATGGACAGACACCTACAATAAATTTTCAGCCTTTGGTACTTTTAGGTGCTTGAAAATCAACCTGCTATCAATAGAAGCCCTGAGCACAGTTACATTTAAGTCGGTATAAAAGTTTCATAAAATTATTGTTATATAAAAGTTGCTTCAATTGAGTTTTTAAAAGGTAGACAATATTGATGCTATATAAAATATGCTTAAAATTGATATTAACACATGTTAATATTAAAATTTTATACTTTAAATTAATGTTTATACTATATATCATCACCTAGAAAAACTATTGAAAACAATATAAGCGTGGAAGTAAAAAGATCTTTTAGCAATTTACATTCTGATAGCAAGTTAATAAAGCAGATCATTATTTCTGGTGAATCGTATTATAAATGCCAGGAGAATGCCTAACAGTTTTTTAGAATGTTGGTCTTCATCTGCCTTGCTTGCTTTTCATTATGAATTTTGCAGCATATACATCTATAATTGGAGGACTGATACTACCTCGTGCATTCAATATGCCAGGGTTGTGCCTAAATCCCACCAGCTAGAAATATGCCGGAGGAGCACTAGTGACAAGTTTCTAAGTCGGGTGATTATCAGTAATACCAACAGTGAAGTGATGTGATTGAACCAGACATGAACATTATAATATGCTTTACATGTGAATAATACATTGTTGAGTTTAAATCAAGGAAATTTTGCTAAATATTATGTGACTGTTTCCTTCATCCTTGTCGATCTTAAGTTTCTTGTTCAGCAGAGTTTTAGCTTAACACTGTAGCCACTAAGACCTGCGCTTGTAAAGGTAAACAAAACTTAAGAATAGTATTGCCACTATACTGCCCCTTGTCATAGTGCTTCTGGTTAGAAAGATCCCAAGATAAAGTTTCTACTGTCTTGTACCTCTAGCTGGTAGTTTCTCAGGAGGCTCAAAAAATACTACCATTAAATCTTTCTGGTTTCATTTCAGACTCTCTCTTAGGTTATAAACACCATTATGATCCTTTCCAAACTGGTTAGAACTCGTTTATTAAGATGTCGAGTGTGTCTGGTGAGTGAATTTTTCTTGAATTTTTTTCATTTTATTCAATTATGTTGATAATATAGGCATTTAGGATAGGAACCAGGGCTACCTGACCCTCTTTGTAAAAAGGTTTATGAACGATATTTAGAAGATTTTAAACATTCACAGGCATCTAGAAAAGATACATGTAAAAGTTAGTGTTTATGGTTTATACTCAAGGATAGGAGAGCCTCCGTAAGTGAGGAAGCAACTATAGTAATCCATCAAACTGAGAAGTCTTGGACACGAAGACACCAGCATGCAGTCAACACTATCCTTTACCATTGAGAAAAGCATTTTGGAGGAAATAACCGTATACTCTAATCTCGACTATCACAATCCATAACCTCAGGAAACTTACAATTGCTTAAAACTTCCTGAAGACCTTTCCATTTAGTCTCTGGTGGATTAATTTTGATATTTGCCATTTCCATTCTCCACTTAGCTTGCCTTTCCTGTGTTAGCTCTGTGGGTACTTTTGATTGTACAGTGGTTGAAGATGAATCCTACTAAGAGACATCTTTCAGGTAAAAAAATGTCCTTGGTTAAGACTGCAATCCTTCTGAAAGCAGGAGAACACTGCAGTTTTAATTATTTGTCAGAATAGGGAAATAAAAAAAAGAAGTTCCATTTTTGGTGCCTCTCTTTTTTGGTTTCACGTGTTGCTTCATAGTGAGTTATGCAATAGGGCAGGCAAACCCACAGGCTAAATCCACAAATTTTGTGCATAGGGTGTTATTGAAGTCAGGTCTTACAAAAACTTTACTTACAACCTTTACACCCTAACACCAGTGAGCATGTACATTTCCTAAGATGCTGACAAGAAGAATTTGTTTAACAATCAAGAGCTTCTTTAGTTGGTGATCATTCCCTTTATTCTTGTGACCTTAATCTGTGATTCATGGGTGATGTTGTAAGGAGAAATTAGGTGTTAGTCACTCCTAGGGGTACAAAGGGTTAAAACAGAAGTTCTAGTGAATGTGAAAACCATAAAAGCCTTTGCAAATAAATTTTCAATCTTCAGAACCAATAGATTGATGTTAAATTTGTGTTGCAGAAATCTTTCCCAGCCATGAAAACTTATCTGGTATGGAAGAAAATGGAATCAAGTGCAAGCCTCACAGGTAGAAAGAGGCATAATTAATGCTTTACTTCAGTGTTAAGGCTTAATTATATATCCAGCCATCAAGCTGTGTGAACACATTAACCAGAGTCTGGAGACAGACCTCGTTATATGACCCTCAGTGTCACATGAAAAAGTTGCTACTGACTTGGAAACGTTACCCAAGGACAAGGTTAATTATCTTATAACTTTTGCTTCCTTGTTAAGTGAGAGTGTAAGGATTTGTTCCTCAGGAAAAGTGTTGTTTTCTTAGAAAGGTATGGTAATAAATTTGAAGACAGTGGTTTACAGCACAACCTCACCTGAAAATTAATTCTTTTTTAGGCCAGACAAAAGTGGCCAAGAACAAATTCTTAAATTTTATGGACGTCTAGGACAGTTGGAGGAGCCAAAGTGTGATGATACACATCACCCAGAGATCTGTTCATACCAGTTAACCAAGTTAATGGAACATCATGTGTCTTGTGATGTGAAATTGTGTGGGTCTTCAGAGATTCAAATGGCTTCTGTGAATCCACAAATGGGAAAAGCTGTTGATGACTGGGAAACATTGCCAAAGGAAAAAGTTACTTATAAAGTACAGGAGGCAGTGAAAACAAACCTGGAAAATGGATTTAATTTCTTGTTCCTTAAATGTGGGAACATTTATCAAGCCTTGAGTTTTCCTCCCATCTTTAAGGAAAATGAAAATGCTGAAGGCAGAAGTGCTATAAATGTAAATATTATTATGTTGGACTCTATCTCAAGACCACACTTCTTTCGAACTATGCGAAAAGCCACAGAAGCTTTGAAGAAGATTAGTGAAGATCCTAAAATCAAGTCCACATATTTGGACTTTGAACTTGTTCAAAGCATTGGTCAACAGACTTTTGAAAACTTGAGACCATTCTTCAGCGGTGTTCTGAAAGGTGTGTTTTCAAAATGTTTCACTGTTTATAATTTATTAGTGATTGCTTGTTTACAGTTTGCTTGGTGAAAAAGTTTGCCATAAGTGAAAAAGGTTCGAGTAGTAAGGGCCAATTAAAAGGAGTTTGTCAACATAAGTAGCCATTAAATTTAAATATTCTGGACTAACACTAGTTGAGGATCATGAGTTCTGATCATCTGATGAAAGGTAGAAGTCTTGAAAAGAATCAACTGTTGCTCAAAGCTACTATTTCAACAACCTTAGTAGAAGTTATCATCAAAGTCAGATGACTCAATGATTATGTCTGCTCAGGTTCTCAAAATATCTTCAACTCCCTGCTATCAACAACAGTCCTTTTTCAGAACCACTCTTACCCAGACTTATAAACCACATGACCAGTGCTATTGAAAATTATACTCGGTTTCTTACTTGTCTTAAACCTGATTAAAGTCGACCACAGGTAAATTAGGATTGCCACTACTGCTGCTACTGCTAGTGCTACTGCTGCTGTTGCTACCAATATTAATACCAAGATTAATCTTTTTTTGGTAAATTTATCAGATGACAATGAAGTCAGTGTCTCTGCAAGCAATAAAAATGCTCCTTTGGGTGTGGAAGTGCTATATGGGGCTGTAAAAAAGTGGGGCTATCAGACACTCTTTCAAGAGGACCTTTGCTGGTATGATATATGGGGAAGTGCATTAACAGATAATGAAAGGAGAAAAATTCCTAAAACAAATTCTGAATTTAGAGAGAGGTGAGTAACGTGTAGAATCATAGTTATTAATTTGTTTGGAGTCAATAGGGGCATTCTTCTCTCTTTCAAAAAAGAAAGAAAGGTCCAGTTTCACCAGCCAAGTGGCCCCAAACCGCAGAAGCTGATCCCCATATTGTTATCATGAAGCGTCAAGGACTATTGCTTCTTCATACAGATGGGCCACTAGTCCATTATAGGTAAACCCCAGCTGCTTTCCTGACAGTTTCTTGCTCAAGGTGTTGAAATTATAGGGGGGAGAAAAGCACTACGAGAGTAAAAATCATACCATCCACATCCCAGTTAACCAAAGTTTCCAGTAAGACATCTTTCCATCATGAGTAGATATGATGAGCAACGAACAAGAACTGCTTTATAAGTATAACATGTAATGAATAAGGAATTCTGGTCTGCAAAATATTCACAACAACGTCAATTAGATAAGAATAGGTGAATAATTGGATATTAACCCCTTAACTCCCAAAATCTGATTGCTAATTCTCCCCTCTTGCTGCTACACATTTCCTTTAAGTTACAAGAATTTGGTGTTAGATAGAGATAACAACCTCTAGCTGATATATTTGAATATTCTCATTACCTGTTTGCTGGATAGTGCATAAATATAATAGGGAGAACTTACATGTTAATCACCTCTGGGAGCTAAAGAGTTAACTTTAACTTTACATTTTTTGTGGCTAATGCACTATTATTGGTCAGAGTGGTAATTAATGTTAACTATTTCAAATCAGGTGGAAAGAATTTCAGGAAAAGATGGCAAAGAAAATGGTTGACCATGTTGGGATTACACATTTTTCCTGCACGGTGTTGAACAGAATTGGAAGGACCAATCACTATGACAATCCTCAGAAAATTTGTCTTAATGGGCAGTTTTACAGTCGGTACTTCTTTGACTACATAAGAAAGGTGTATACTGCCTTAGAAAACAACAGAAAAGCCAAACCATTGGTCTCATACATGCATTTCAACACGGGACATGAGATGACAGGGAAACGAATGATCAACATGGATGCCAGCATGGCAAAGTTTTTCACAGATATGGCCTTGTTTCCAAACACTTTGACCGTGATTTTTTCAGACCATGGTCACAAAATGACTCCATTCAGTTACACTGAAGAGGGAAGGAGAGAGTTATTTGATCCAGTCTTCTTCATGATTGTCCCTGATGGTGTTAAAGAGAAACTGGGTCCAGAAAGGATGGAAGCTTTGGTAACAAACCAAAAGCGCATCTTTATGTTGTATGATGTTCACAAAGCACTCATGAGTTTGCATGATTCTCAAGAGAAGGACTCTAGGGATTATTCAGTTTCAGGGATATTTTCAGAGATTTCGGCCAACCGCACTTGTGCAGACTTGTACATGCTTCCCTTGACAAGATGCAAATGTGAAGGTTTTGATGAAGAAATTCCTGTAAAGGATAATGCAGACGATCAGATGTGGTTAGCAGAATTTGCTCTGGGACATATCAATGATGCTATTCAAAAACAACACATGAGTGGTAAGATGTGCAGTGTTATTTGTTCTCTGTTAATTCTGCTTTTAATTGGCAGTGAAAGTAAAGTACTGCTACTGAAACAAAAGCCCAATGAAGTTTTGATCAAATTGTAGAAAGCTAGGGTGAGTTGAGGCAGGGTGGGGTGAGGGAAAGTTAGGTGAGGGAATAAAAGAGATGGGTTGTGTGGGTTAGAAAGGGTTTGATTATACTGGTTGGGATGAGGTTTGGTACAGTAGGACTGGTAGGGTGGGTACTGTTACACACTGTAGTTGAGATGAGGGTGGAACAGGGTAAGATGTGATAAGGTGGGTTGATAGAGAGAAGATGCACAAGATAAAATGGAGTCAGGTTAGGCTTCTGAAACAAAAACAAGGTGAAGTTATTTGAGGCGAGATGTAATGTGGTGAAGATGAGTGAGGAAAGATTAGGTGAGGTGTGTTGGGTTGAAGTGACAAGTAGTGAGGAGAGGTGAGGAAATATTATTAAAGCTGTCGTGGTTTGAAGTGACTGAAATGAGCTGACCTGAGGTAAGGAAAGATCATTTGAGGTGTGTTGGGGCAAGATGAACCAGACCTTAACCCTAACCCTATGGGGAACTGCTGTGAGATGATACTCCTGACTCTAAGAAACGAAGTCCATCTAATTTCCTTTTTATTTATTTTTCACTCATTTTCGTCAGGAAATGGTGATTCAAAGAATAACTATGGCTATGGAAACTGCCAGCGCTTGGTCGGAAAATCAATTGAGAAGGTTTTCAAACGATTCCGTGGAGAATACATCATGACCACGATGGACATTCACGTGATCCCTCCAGCCGGATTCATAGAGGATGAAGTTTATCGAGTCTCTGTCAAACAGTTTGCCAAACCACAACAAGGAGTATTTTTTCTCAGTTCTGTCCGGGTAACAATGTATAACAAGTTTGCCTTGTGTGCAGATAAGTCCGTGGATATTAAGCTCTGCGCATGCTCCAAAGAGCAAACCGCAGACGCCGAGATGAAAGAAGTGTTGTTTGACAATGGAGTTCCTCGCGAAATGTTTGGTTCGGACACAATCGTGAGAGACTTGGATTCAAACTGTTTGTTATTCTTGCGACGGAATCATGGGACGTTTTCATTTGGGTTAGAAGTTGCAAATGTTTGCACAAGTCGAACTTATAAATTTGAACTAACAGGCTCAATGGATCAAAGGATATTTTCCAAGACTTTGCCCATTGGGCTGGAATTATTCCCAAAGACGTTTAGTTTTTTGACTTCTGTCAACAAATACCTCTCAAAAGTAAACGAGCCGTTAGGATTGAAAGCAAGTGTGAAAGTTAAGAAGGATGGATCAAACACCTTTACTGATTTGGGGATTTTCAGTGTTACATGACAGTAAATATAGTTTTCAAACTGTGAGAAAATTATTCCTCCGGACAAGACAAGGGAAACTTCATCTGTACATAAAGATCTTAAACACTTCAATTCCGTGTATTTACATTTTCTTTTAGCCAACTTTATGCTATTTGATTTATGAACTTGTTTGTTATTTTTTGTGACAAAGCCATTGTTGTTACTCGAATGACACAAAGCGCTGTCTATACTAATGAGATTTGTTTGCTGGTTGCGGTCGCTAGTGTAGAAATTCCTCGTTACGCAATTTTTAGCTGACCAGAAATGGATGTTTGGAGGTCAAAAATGTTATGAAAATAGGGAAATACAGACACTTAGAGTTAGAGGTAAACTTACCTTACTGTTACATGAATCTGTTTACAATCTGACTGCAAAGAAAATTCGGCCGCGTTCCATCGAAAGCGAGAGCTTGTCTAATGCGGAATCGCGTCGGCCATCCAATCAGAGTGCCCGAGCCAAGAACAAAGAAAAGATCTCGAGAATCGCCATAACGAAAGAAAATGTTCGAAATTATGCTTGAACCTGCTTTGTGTGCTTTGAGAAAAACAACATAGTGTTCCGAGGATCAATTGGTGGCTGCTTCTGTCCTTGATTGTTCTGAAAAAGGAAAGAAAAAAATTTGTCTTGTTAGAAGTTTTGGCAGGTGTAAGTATCACTAATTACTGTATTATCCAACTGCACTACGTAGAATGCAAATAACGTGCGAATCAAGTACAGATATTTTCCCACTTTTTATGAAATGCGCATGAAATAAAGCAGTTGGACAATAGATAATTTTGACTCGCCCTGCGGGCGATACGACACAAATCTTAAAAATACCCAGCGATACTACACACCAAACTTCTAATAAATATATGTATTTATCTTAGTATTGTGTTGTTTCTTACGAGCTTGGAATTTAGTTCAACTATTAACTTACATAAACGACCCGTTGTCATTTAGCGTCGGGGGGGGGCGGGGGTAGGAGGAAGGGGGGAAGGGGGAGGAGGGGGGGAAGGAAGGGGAGGAAGGGAAGAGGGAGGAGGAGTTTGGTTGTTTCAGGATAAATTTTATCTGATCCCCTGCCTTTCTTGGCAGCAGTCAATTTACTATACTACCCCACTTTAACCTCTGATGGTAACGACTGACCCACCTCTATTTCCCCTTCCCCAGTTAGCATTCTTGCCAATCAACTGTGAAGTAACCAAGCCTCAAACCTCTCTTTAACCAATCTGGGAGATACGTTCAACCCTTTTAACTCCTGCAATTTTAAGGCCTTGAGTATTCTTGTTACCTGTTTGCTGGATACTGTATGGATGGTACAGGGAGAACTTACTTGTAAATCACTTCTGAGAGCTAAGGCTTAAACAATTAGGAGCTACTCTGGTGGGCATTTTGTCGACTAAAAAGAATGACTAACTTTGTGTCCCTGACCATGTTAGTAACAAATAGCAGCAGCCAAAGGCCATTAAAGCACATTGACACGTCACTTGTCCCCATAATATCCACACATTATCCAGCAAGCAGGTAATGAGAATACTCAAACTTATCAGGTAGAAGTTTATCAATAAAATTCAAGTAATAATTTGTGTATGACTCTATGAGTCCTTGCACTCTTACCTTGTACTTGTATTTGTTCAAGCGTTGGTAGTGAAGGAAATAATCGCAACTGAATCGCTGTTGTGATTAGTAACACAACTGAGAGGAAGATGATAAACATCTGTTTACAAAACAAAAAGAAAAAAACATACCATCTCATATCAACCACTGTGTATCTCTTGGATTCCATGATCATAAAAGTTTTTTTTATTGTGATGCAAAATATCTCATGTTCACAGATGTGCCAAAATCATCCAACATTCATCAGCTGTTCCTTGGTACACAACTTACACATGTATAACAATAATTACATTGTTACCTACACTTAAAGAACTTTGTTAGTTATGAAAATAAGTTACTTCCCTAATCTACATTACCAGTTGCCTTTGTTAGAAAACTTTGGAACAGTCAAGCTCAGTTGCCTCAAACACTGTCAGAGACTTTCAGTTCACATTATTTTTAGTAGAAATTTCATGCCTTAGACAAACAAATTAAACACCTACTTAATCGTTCTTGCGATACAACGAATACATCGGACAGACCAAACGTCAGTTTGGTACACGTTTGAAAGAGCATCAAAAAGCGACTTTCCTTTCCAAAAAGGAAACTTCAGCTTTATCGGAGCACACATGCCTAACTAACCGTATAATTGGATGGGATAATTCTAAAATTATCACCACCAATCGGCGTTTTCACCATCGCCTTTGTTTTCTGTCAAAAAAAAGGCAGCTAATTAGTGATCATATAAAAAGACCTCTTGTTGCAGCGTTTAGATCACCCCTGATGAAGGCACTAGACAGGAGTGTCGAAACGTTGGGTCTATGAACTGTAACTTCTTCGGTTACATTCATTTAATCTGTAAACCAGAGTAGCATCAAGCCATGTCTGATTGTCCACCTGGTTGGCGTGTGAACTTTAATATAAAGGAGCCTCTATTTGGCACTCATCTTTGAATGTACTTTTCATCGGTTGATCGCTCGTGTGTAAAGTTGTTTCTTTTCTCGACTGTTTTGCCTAATATAACATTTCTAAAGATAGGTTTTGTTGTGGTTCAGTGAGAAAACGAGAACAGCGTGAGTGTTGTAAATGAAAAGAAATTTGTTGGCGCCGTGAAGTTAAAAGAAGGGACGACAGTTGACATCTTGACTGGTACAAACAAGGGTCGAGTGGCCATTTATAAAGCTACGATTTTGAACGTTTGTGATGAGTAAAAATTGCGATATTCGTTACATAATCACAATTTTTCAAAGAATAGATATAACGGCTTGAAGGTAAAATTTCCACACAGCCCCATACTACATTATGCATTCAGTTCCTGGATAGAGAAAACATTGACAGAAACAAGACATTGCCATACTATTGTAAAACAAATTTGCTTTCCCAATGGGGCTGTGCAGGAACCTTATCAGGCTTGAATTAAGCTTACATAACGCTCGGCGCAACTGAAACTAGAATAAATCTGAGAATCGAATCGGTCACTTGCATGCTGCAGTTTCTTAAGTTTGTGCTTTACAATGAAATAAATTTATCAGCAAGGTTTCAAGATTCACCAATATAAAAGTCATTCAATATAGCAGAGATTTCCCAATCCCAATGCAATTTGTTAAATTGAGATTCCAATGGATGCCCTATTCCTTATAGCTATCTAAGGCTTGTCTGAGCTTTTAATATATATATATATATATATATATATTTATTGTGGGCCACCGTACGATTCCAGCATGGAATCGTACGGTTGCCCACAACGGTCACGGCAAAACAAAAAGTCCCGGCACTACAAACTTTACTCACGGCAAAACAAAATTAACTCACGGCAAAACAAAGAAAACGAGTTGGTTTATTTGCATCTGAAAGGGTATGTCGCGTAACAGTAACGCACCGAATATAAGAGATCCTCTTAGCTAAGAACACCACTGAACTAGTAGTTGAAATTAGACTTGAAAAAAATTTTTCAGGCCCGCACGGGAAAAAAAGGTAGTACTAGTTCAGTAGTACTAGTTCAGTAGTGTTCTTAGCTGCAAGGATCTCTTATGTTTATTTCTTTACCGCAGTGAAAATATATGAATTTAATATATCTAAAATCATTAGTAACACACTGCTCGCTCGAAAAAACGCCATTTTTGAGCTCACGATGTTTTCTCCGCCTGTGGTTCTGTAGTAGATGAAGATGCAGACTTATGTAAAAGCTGTGGTAGAGGTACTTTTCTTGATTTAAAGTATTCGTATTTGCATTTCTTTTAGTTCTAAATAACGATAGGCGTGAGAAGACACTGCTACAAATTAGCTGATTAGCACGTGTCTGGAATAAGATTATGCATGTGGCCTGTGTGTAAAAAGAAAACATTCATAATGTATAGGCCTTGATGAAATAAGGATTTTTTCAATAGCTGGAAAATAATGTACGCCTGTAAACAGTCAGAGAGCACGAGATTAAAGGCCAAAACATTCCAGATTATTTCCGAAATGATTTATCTTGAGTTTTATTGATTTTAAATAGACTTAAGGAGATAATACTGTTTAAAGTAAAGTTTCCTCTGAATACTAGAGGTGTAAGCTACATTATTTTGCTTCATTGTCTTTTTTTCCACCTTTTGACCACTGGGTACTATTGCGCAATCTTTCCATTTTGTGGCGGAGGAAAAAAAAGGCGACAAAAAAACAAAGGCGTTTTATGACTGGGCTACCACAGGAATCCCAGTAGAAAAAAAAAAAGGGAAGGCGTTTTATGTTGACCAATCACAGAGCGAAGTAATTCATTTTTTACGACTTTTCCATTGCTTTTCACCGAGGTTTGTCGAGTCACGAACATGTGCGTTGAGTGTGGAAGGCGCTCAGGTATTTTCTTTCTGGGAATTATCAGTGCTTCAGATTTATACCAGTTGAAAGAACCTTTTCTTAGGGCTTTCTGAAAGCCCTGAAACTTCTGGCAGAATGATTCCGAGAAAGCGAAGGTGGATGGTAAGTTTTTTTGCAAAGTTTAGCTCAAAATAGACAATACAAGGTAGCCATGTACGTTCTTGATTGGACTTGATGCCCAGAAAAGGTTCTTTCAAATCTCTTGAAAGTATCAGATAATCGGTTGAAAATTTTAAGCGATCCCAGAAATGATATCGGTTTTCTAGTTGATATATCTGAACGTGTGCGTACGCCAAAATTGTGATGTTCTTAACACTTCGAAAATTGAGTTCATTGTGGCTCGTGTCACGTTAAAAATAGGTGCTGAATTTCCCAAGAAATCATCGTGCAAATCGATTTAGGGTAATCGTTGTGAGCTTAAAAATGGCAAGCTATTGATTTGATACTATTAAAGAAGAGTTCTCCGCCTGTGCCGACCATTAGTCGGTGGATAATGTGATCGATAATTCAGAGTGAATGCTGTCAGTCAGCGTATATTTCTAAAGTTCCCACAAAAGACCACATTTAAACATAATGTGAGCAATAACCGGCTGGTAACGAATGTCATGCGAATCTAAAATTATTTTGGTTTGTTGGTGGACGAACTTTCTGAGCTTGTGCATTAGTACTTAGACATCTTTAGTTCCAAAGTATCCGTGGAAAGAAGGCCCAAATTTGGATCAAAGTGCGAAAGCTACATGAATTACGGAATCGCTTCAAATTCTCATCAAACAAGTGATAGTTTCAGGAATTTTGAAAGAACCTTTCTGTGAAAATTAAATTTATGGCTGCATGGCGTTAAGGTTCCTCTAGGACCGCGCCCGTTTGCAGGGTACTTAGATAAATGTGTTAGTTAGAACCTTCATCTATCCAACTCATCAAAGATTCAACCCATCGCTAACATAGGTTTTGTGAACTTGTCACGAGATCGAAAATGCTTTTTTTTCGTTTACTAAGATCCAAAATTCTTACTACAATAATAATTTGATTGCGATTCTTTCAAGAATTTCAGAAACTCTTGCCACATGGTCGGGAATTCTTTCCTCAAGAACGAGAATTCTTTATATCAGGCAATGAAGTATTATAGTTATCCTGGAAAGAATGTTTAATTGAAAATATTATGCAGGGAATTCATAAGAGAAGAAGCAGAAACCTTGTCGAGGATTCTTATAACTGGACTTTTATTAGGTAACCTTTCACCGCCAGTAGCTTTGATCTATACGCCTAAAGAGCTGATGCAGTTTGTTCAGCCTTGCTACCTTACACCAGTGGAGTATAGACATACATGAATGATTCACTAGGAAGACGAAACGGCGATAATTTTCATCCACATTTCCGTTGAAAATTTGCATCACGATTAGAAACTTTTAAGTTAACTTAAAAGTGTTTAAATATGCAGTTAACAGCCAGCTGAATACATTTTCCTTGTTAAGGAATAAACAGTTCTGCTGAGCAACGTTATAGGTAGCTTTGAACATAAATGCAGCTCATGGAAAATTCATTCGGCCTTCAAAGTATCAGTGATAGACTTTCATCGCATATTGGCAATTTCGATTACTTGGACAATAAAAACCTGTTTGTCGTACCTTTGTTTTGCGCTGCGAAGTTAGGCGTGCAAATTCTTTAAATTTAATGCAAATTTGTGGATGCGAGATAAGAATGTAATTAAAAACCTCCGAAGAATATTCCCAGGCGTTTGCCTTTCTTATTCCGCTCGGTGTTTTACTTCAGTATTAACCTGAGATAAATCGTTGGGTATCATGGTCAACTTAACCTACGCTGGGCTTCTTGTTGGCTGAGAAGGAATGCTTAAGAAATTTTGTTTTGCTGTGACGTGTTTTTATTCATTGGAAAAATGGCGTAGTCTTCCTTAATTTGAAACAAATTAAGAGCAAGTAAAAGTCTCAAGTTCGTTTAAGTTTAATCTTTAAGAGAAACTAGGAATATCCATAATTTCAATCGAAGAACGGAGTCTACATTTTACCCCGGTTCTGCAGTCTTCGTCTGAATTTTACGCTCGGTCTGCGGTTTGCAGTCTGTGTCTTACGCTGACCGGATTTGGTACAATTCATTTAGAACTTCAAAGTTAATTTATTGGGAGTCCAAGAGATTGATCTGCCAAAGCAGAGACCTGCTCTTTAAATGGCTAAACTCTGTATCTGACTTTTTAATGCTATGGGTGCAAATGTTTACACTTAACGACATTCATACTGCACACAGAAATTCTCTTCGATTAGCCTGAATCGCTCGAGAAGATGTCATGTCCATGACATCTGAATTTGAAAAAGTATACATATACATATATATAAATATATATTAAAAGCTCAGCCAAGGCCTTAGATAGCTATAAGGAAAAGGACATTCATTGGAATCTCAATTTAACAAATTGCACTGGGATTGGGAAATCTCTGCTTTATTGAACGACTTTTATATTGGAGTTAATACATCTCTCCCATAGATTTTACTAAAAAAAGGGCTGAATACAGTATTTTGTTTTTAGCTAGGAGGGCTTCTTTATGTAATAAGGTTTGTTTAATCACTGTTTGTATTATGAATCTTGAATGTTCCCAAAATGTGACTAAAGTAATCTCGAAACCTTACTGATAAATTTATTTCTTTTTAAAGCACAAGCTTAAGAAACTGCAGCATGCAAGTGACCGATTCGATTCTCAGATTTATTCTAGTTTCAGTTGCGCCGAGCGTTATGAGCTTAATTCAAGCCGGATAAGGTTCCCGCACAGCCCCATTGGGAAAGCAAATTTGTTTTACAATAGTATGGCAATGTCTTGTTTCTGTCAATGTTTTCTCTATCCAGGAACTGAATGCATAATGTAGTATGGGGCTGTGTGGAAATTTTACCTTCAAGCCGTTATATCTATTCTTTGAAAAATTGTGATTACGTAACGAATATCGCAATTTTTACTCACCACAAACTTTCAAAATCGTAGCTTTATAAATGGCCACTCGACCCTTGTTTGTACCAGTCAAGATGTCAACTGTCGTCCCTTCTTTTAATTTGTTTTTCTAAGGCATGAAATTTCTATTAAAAATTATGTGAACTGAAAGTCTCTGACAGTGTGTGAGGCAACTGAGCTTGACTGTTCCAAGGTTTTCTAACAAAGGCAACTAGTAATGTAGATTAGGGAAGTGACTTATTTTCATAACTAACAAAGTTCTTTAGGTAGAGGTAACAATGTAATTATTGTTACACATGTGTAAGTTGTGTACCAAGGAACAGCTGATGAATGTTGGATGATTTTGGCACATCTGTGAACATGAGATGTTTTGCATCACAATAAAAAAAACTTTTATGATCGTGGAATCCAAGAGATACACAGTGGTTGATATGAGATGGTATGTTTTTCTTTTTGTTTTGTAAACAGATGTTTATCATCTTCCTCTCAGTTGTGTTACTAATCACAACAGCGATTCAGTTGCGATTATTTCCTTCACTACCAACGCTTGAACAAATACAAGTACAAGGTAAGAGTGCTAGGACTCATAGAGCCATACACAAATTATTACTTGAATTTTATTGATAAACCCAAATGTCTATAATATTTTTTTATTATGGCGATGTTGTTCAAAGTTTTTGGTAAGCTTTGAAAATTGAATGTTATTGTGCAGGCTGAATAAAGAATTTAGGAGTTTCACCTACACTTTAGGATTAACCCTTTAACATTTTATTTCAGATTGCTAATTCTCCCATCTAGCTGGTGCACATTTTAATTAGTTATAAGAATTTGGTTTTAGATCAAGATAAAAACTTCTAACTGATAAGTTTGAGTATTGTTATTACCTGCTTGCTGGATAATGTGTGGATATTATGAGGACAAGTGACATGTTAATGTGCTTTAATGGCCTTTGGCTGCTGCTATTTGTTACTAACATGGTCAGGGACACAAAGTTAGTCATTCTTTTAGTCGACAAGATGCCCACCAGAGTAGCTCCTAACTGTTTAACCCTTAGCTCTCAAAAGTGATTTACAAGTAAGTTCTCCCTGTACTATCCATACAGTATCCAGCAAACAGGTAACAAGAATACTCAAGGCGTTAAAATTGCAGGAGTTAAAAGGTTGAACTTATCTCCCAGATTGGGTAAAAAGAGGTTTGAGACTTGGTTACTTCACAGTTGATTGGCAAGAATGCGAAGCAAGAATTAAAATGATGGCATCTGTGAACAAATGTTTGGCACATTTGAGGCCATTTATCCAAACGTCGGGTAACTATTTGGAGTCTCAAAATGCGGCCAGTACCATCACTACATGTATACTTTTTATTGGCGGAGATACAATTACCCAATCAGTCTGGACCATACTTCTTCTCTCACCTTAAATGGACTAGTGTCCCTTCCAGAGAAACCAGCAGCACTCTTAGTCACTTAAACTGAGAAACAAGTCTTTATCTATTGCCTGGGGGAGGGAGAAATAGAGGCGGGTCAGTCGTTGCCATCAGAGGTTAAAGTGGAGTAGTATAGTAAATCGACTGCTGCCAAGAAAGGCAGGGGGATCAGATAAAATTTATCCTGACACAACCAAACTTCTCCCCCCTCTTCCCTTCCTCCCCTTCCTCCCCTCCTTTTCCCCTTTCCCCCTTCCTCCTACCCTGCCCCCCCCCCCGACGCTAAATGACGACGGGTCGTTTATGTAAGTTACTAGTTGAACTAAATTCCAAGCTCGTAAAATACAACACCAGATAAATACATATATTTATTAGAAGTTTGGTGTGTAGTATCGCTGGGTATTTTAACGAGTTGTGTCGTATCGCCCGCAGGGCGAGTCAAACTTATCTATTGTCCAACTGCTTTATTTCATGCGCATTTCATAAAAAGTGGGAAAATATCTGTACTTGATTCGCGCGTTATTTGCATTCTACGTTGTGCAGTTGGATAATACAGTAATTAGTGATACTTACACCTACCAAAACTTCTAACAAGACAATTTTTTTTCTTTTTTTTTGCAGAACAATCAAGGACAGAAGCAGCCACCAATTGTTCCTCGGAACACTACGTTCTTTTTCTCAAAACACACAAAGCAGGTTCAAGCACAACTTTGAACATTTTCTTTCGTTATGGCGATTCTCGAGATCTTTCCTTTGTTCTTGGCTCGGACACTCTGATTGGATGGCCGACGCGATTCCGCATTGGACAAGCTCTCGCTTTCGATGGAACGCGACCAAATTTTCTTGCAGTCACACAAGATTCAATAAGAAAGCCATCAACTATTTGTTTCCAAAAGACGCCAGCAAATATGTGACAATCGTCAGAAACCCGGTCGAACAGTTTGAGTCGACTTTTAACTACATGCAAATCGGAACTGTGTTCGGTTTTGGGACAGATCCATCTGAATCATTGAAAGCCTTTCTAAAGAATGGAATAGGATTTAATATGCTCAGAAAAAGCGGAAGTTCTGTTTTAGCTAGAAATCCGCAAATGTTTGATCTAGGTTTGGATTTCAAGTTTTATCAGGATGCCAAAGCCATTAAAGAGTACGTTGAATTCTTGGAAGAAGAGTTTGATTTGGTTTTAGTCGCAGACTATTTTGACGAATCTGTGGTTCTTATGAAGAGATTACTATGCTGGGAATTGGACGATGTACTTTTTGTAAAAACAAACGAACGGCTTGACAAGGACAAAGCTACTGAAATATCAGATGGTACGAAAGAGAACATCAAACGGTGGAACAAAGCCGACGTGTTTACGAACACTTTAACCAAACTCTTTGGCAAAGAATCGAAAGGGAAGGAAAAGACTTTTACGACGATCTTACGAACTTTCGTCGAATGAAACAGGAACTTAAAAGTAAATGTTTTGAAGACAAGCCAAGTAAGCAGTTAATGTATGGCAACAAGTATGCGAAAGGTTTCACTTTAAGGTCGGATTTGTCTTCTGATCTAAAACAAAAATGTGAAAGTATGACAAGAACTGAAAATAACTATCTGGCATATTTAAGGAAGGAGCGAGTAGCAAAATTAGTCGGTATTCATCGCGCAACACCAAATGAGGATGATGAAGAAAAAGTTAGTTGGGACGCGGCCAGCGATTATAAATATGTTCCTGTCTAAAGTAGCCAATTACATGAGACTTTCAACGCAAGTTATATATTTCGCATATTTCGCAGTGAAATTAAATTGTCTCTATGGATATTTAGAAAACCCGAGAACGCATAAGGAGTGTTTGTGTGGGTCGGATGTCTAAATATTCACATTTACTAATAGTACATGTCCTACATCATTCATCCTAACAGTCACGTACAATCATGCGTAACAAATGCAATATTTAATCACACATAACGAAAGAAACACTGCAGAGACACAAACCTGAGAACATAAAAAAATGTTGCTTATGTTATATCATATAGGCATTTCACTCTAACCCTATCCCAGCAGACCTAATCCTCAGTCAAAATGTGAGTAACGTTAATCTTAAAAGTTGCTTTTGTATTTTCAACATGTCATTGATATTCATACTGTCACTATGAAACTGTGTTAAGTACTATAAATGGGCTCAAATGGGCTTCCATGACATGTTCAGTTCCCCTTTTTCATGCATTAGACTAGACCCCGTGAGCAAGGTAACTGGGATACCTGGATGGTAATGGTCCTTGGGATCAAGTGTAGTGACACTACGGGTGTCGGACTGGTATACCAAATCACGTTGAACTGAGTTTCTAGGGGCTTCGTTATTAGCTTGGACTTGTGATATAATCTTATCTTTGTCTGCAGGATCCAGTGTTTTATACCATTTTGCTCTGCCAGACAAAGTTTTTCTTTTTCCTCAGGATTCAATGACTTATACCAATCTGCTCTTTTTTTGTTTTTGTGCAGAATTGAGCGAGTTAAACCATTCTGCTCTCTTTTGTTTTTGTGCAGTATCCAATGATTTATACCAAATTGCTCTGCTGGACAAAAGAGTTTGTTTTTCTGCAGAACCAAGTGATTTATACCATTCTGCTGATTGGACAAAAGCTTTTCTTTTCCTTCGGGACCCAGTGATTTATACCATTCAGCTCTGTTAGATAAAAGCGTTTCTTCTTCTGCAAGATCCAGTGACTTCTACCAATATATTGCTTTATCAGACAAAACTTTTTTTTCATGGCAGGTTCCATTTGTGCATAGCTTTCTTTTTTCCTTTTTGCATGTAGTTCTTTCCTATGAGACTTAAGTCTTGACATCACCCTTTGTCTTCCAGCATTTTACAAATTGGTTGAACAACATATAAATTTGATGCAATATTCTATATCTTTACTCTGGAATTGTTTTTATACAATATCCACCAATGACTGAATAAGAAAATCTTCGTCATTCATTTTTTCAAATATATCAAGTGTGCCATAAGGACTAAACCTTATAATATAGTACTCAACACTTTTTCCTTTTTTTTATATTATTGTGCTGAAAAATACAGCTGAAGCAATAATTTGAAATCCACATTAAAAACCCAGTATTATCCTCAGTATTATCTGTGATTAACTTCTGAAGCAAAAGTTTGCTACCAAGAGATGTACAGCGTAGTATTCCTTATTTCTCCAAATTAAAGGCATTATCAATATCTGCATCATATATTTGAAGTGTCCTTGGGAAATTGTTGATAGTCAGTGGATGGGTATCGCCATTGAGTTTTTCTTTGTAAAACTTGTTTGCATGGTCAGTGATTCTACCTAGAGTCTGTGAATTCCAATACCCACAATATTTGATAATGGAAAAACAAATGCTATAAAAAGATGTGGCACAACAGCTTAACAAGGGAACACGAATGGTTACAATTTCTGCATCGGCATGATTTGCTTTAAGAGGGACAGCTGACAACTGTTGATCAGAAATATATGTCATATCACATTGTTTTTCATTAATATGTACATTGGATCTTGATAAAGACCTTGAAAATAGTTTATCAGCTCATTTAAGGTGTTAACTTCTAACAGTACACAAGTTCCTTGAGGATGGGACATCCATATGAATCTCTACCATGAGAATCAAATATCTTAAACTTACCATCACCATTATAGTAAAAAACTTATTGTAGTACTAAGGATTGTTAAAAGAAAGGAATTATAATTTTATCCTAGCAAAGCCTTCATAGCATTAGTAAATGACATGCAATAATTGAAATCTTGTACTTCAGAAGTACCATGTATAATAACAGTATAGCTTGCGTGAACTATATTGAAGCTGATATTTAATATTAAACACTATTATCATTTCAGGTACTTCTGTAAACAGTAAATAGGATTGCCTGGATAGACTAGATAGACCAGAATATAATTCATTACCAATGTTCATGATATTAACCAAGTCCACTAACCATTCCTCTTGTTATATATGAGGGAAGCAAGTGACATGGCTACAAACTATGTACCAGCATTTAACCCAAACATTGCCACATTGTCTTGACTGTAAGGAGCTTGCATTATTTTTTAGTAGAATTAATAACAGGACCAAGACAGATTGGGCTTAAAATGATTTACCCTGTGATTCAGATTTTTATAAACATTTGGTATTGAATTAGACCTCCATGCATTCGACTGCTTTGGCTTTGGACTTTTTATCACATGGGAATATTGGTTTTGCATTTTCAGTATCCTGTATTTGTTAGACTTTGGATATTTTCTCCTGACTGCAGAAGAGGGATATCTCGTTGTTCCTTTATTCTCACATCTGATTCCATGTGCGTATATTTTTTCACGAGCTTTATTTGTAAAAAGATGCATTCGAGAAGCCTTGGGTATGCTTTTTCTGATGTAGGTTCGAAGTAAACGTCTTACTTTCCTGGATTTCTTCAAAATACGTGTAATTCTTTTCTTTGGTATTCTCCTGGGCTCACGATCACGAACACGAATACCATGCGTACGAGGGCCATTAAAATAGACAAATTTGTCGTATCGAGACCTACAGCTAAAGACTGTATTTATTGAAAATGCTTCATCATTGCTATTATTAAGCTAATTATCATATACAATAACAGATAAATGAGCAGCTTTCTTAAATACGTTACATTCATCGAAGCTATTCACAGCAGCTTTTGCTGAAGACATCAACAACTTTACATAGAAATTAGCCCACAAGACAATTGCGTAAACAATAGATAACATAATAACAATATACAAAAAAAACACAGGATTTTGGATCATGTATTTATTAAAAAAGAATATCCATATAACTACAATGAAAACAAATACAAGATTCACCTTTCTGATCGTGAAATTAATATCATTTCTACTGTTATCGTAGCTACGTTCCTTGGCATCAAGTGAATCCTACATGGCGTCTTTCTTCACAAGCAGTTTGCTTTCGCCAAAACAACAATTCTAGAAGTTCTGGAATTGTTGCTTTGGTGATGGAAGTGCAACATTTTTGTTTACGATTACCTGGAGCTTTATGGTGCAAACGCTCAAAATACTTACAGACGTACACACAAGTCGTATTGCTTGCGGCCAATCCACACTAAAAGATGTTATTGAGCGGTATTTTTGGAACGGATTGAGTCGCAAACGCTTGAAAGCCATGAAAGCCGTGTATGCCAAGTATGCCAATGTCCTAGTTGAAAAACGTACACTTGTTGAAAAAAGCAAAATCGTAAATCTGAAACCAAACTGCATATATTCTATGCAAGCTATTGAACAACACTACTACCGTGAGACTGAAGAACAAAACTCTAATGGATGCAAACTGCTTATGAAGAAAGACGTCATGTTGGATTCACTTGATGCCAAGGAACGTAGCTACGATAACAGAAGGAATGATATTAATTTCACGATCAGAAAGGTGAATCTTATGTTTGTTTTCATTGTAGTTGTATGACTCAATCCGTTCCAAAAATACCGCTCAATAACATATTCTGTTAGGATGAATGATGTAGGACATGTACTATTGGTAAATGTGAATATTTAGACATCCGACCCACACAAACACTCCTTATGCGTTCTCGGGTTTTCTAAATATCCATAGAGACAATTTAATTTCACTGCGAAATATATGAAATATATAACTTGCGTTGAAAGTCTCATGTAATTGGCTACTTTAGACAGGAACATATTTATAATCGCTGGCCGCGTCCCAACTAACTTTTTCTTCATCATCCTCATTTGGTGTTGCGCGATGAATACCGACTAATTTTGCTACTCGCTTCTTCCTTAAATATGCCAGATAGTTATTTTCAGTTCTTGTCATACTTTCACATTTTTGTTTTAGATCAGAAGACAAATCCGACCTTAAAGTGAAACCTTTCGCATACTTGTTGCCATACATTAACTGCTTACTTGGCTTGTCTTCAAAACATTTACTTTTTAAGTTCCTGTTTCATTCGACGAAAGTTCGTAAGATCGTCGTAAAAGTCTTTTCCTTCCCTTTCGATTCTTTGCCAAAGAGTTTGGTTAAAGTGTTCGTACAGCAACACGTCGGCTTTGTTCCACCGTTTGATGTTCTCTTTCGTACCATCTGATATTTCAGTAGCTTTGTCCTTGTCAAGCCGTTCGTTTGTTTTTACAAAAGTACATCGTCAATTCCCAGCATAGTAATCTCTTCATAAGAACCACAGATTCGTCAAAATAGTCTGCGACTAAAACCAAATCAAACTCTTCTTCCAAGAATTCAACGTACTCTTTAATGGCTTTGGCATCCTGATAAAACTTGAAATCCAAACCTAGATCAAACATTTGCGGATTTCTAGCTAAAACAGAACTTCCGCTTTTTCTGAGCATATTAAATCCTATTCCATTCTTTAGAAAGGCTTTCAATGATTCAGATGGATCTGTCCCAAAACCGAACACAGTTCCGATTTGCATGTAGTTAAAAGTCGACTCAAACTGTTCGACCGGGTTTCTGACGATTGTCACATATTTGCTGGCGTCTTTTGGAAACAAATAGTTCATGGCTTTCTTATTGAATCTTGTGTGACTGCAAAGAAAATTTGGTCGCGTTCCATCGAAAGCGAGAGCTTGTTCAATGCGGAATCGCGTCGGCCATCCAATCACAGTGTCCGAGCCAAGAACAAAGGAAAGATCTCGAGAATCGCCATAACGAAAGAAAATGTTCGAAATTGTGCTTGAACCTGCTTTGTGTGTTTTGAGAAAAAAGAACGTAGTGTTCGAGGAACAATTGGTGGCTGCTTCTGTCCTTGATTGTTCTGAAAAAAAAAAAAAAAAATTGTCTTGTTAGAAGTTTTGGTAGGTGTAAGTATCACTAATTACTGTATTATCCAACTGCACTACGTAGAATGCAAATAACGCGCGAATCAAGTACAGATATTTTCCCACTTTTTATGAAATGCGCATGAAATAAGGCAGTTGGACAATAGATAATTGTGACTCGCCCTGCGGGTGATACGACACAACTCGTAAAATACCCAGCGATGCTACACACCAAACTTCTAATAAATATATGTATTTATCTTGGTATTGAGTTGTATCTTACGAGCTTGGAATTTAGTTCAACTAGTAACTTACATAAACGACCCGTCGTCATTTAGCGTCGGGGGGGGGGAGGGGGTAGGAGGAAGGGGGGAAAGGGGGAAAAGGGGGGGAGGAAGGGGAGGAAGGGAAGAGGGGGGAGGAGTTTGGTTATGTCAGGATAAATTTTATCTGATCCCCCTGCCTTTCTTGGCAGCAGTCAATTTACTATACTACCCCACTTTAACTTCTGATGGCAACGACTGACCCGCCTCTATTTCTCCCTCCCCCAGGCAATAGATAAAGACTTGTTTCTCAGTTTAAGTGACTAAGAGTGTTGCTGGTTTCTCTGGAAGGGACACTAGTCCATTTAAGGTGAGAGAAGAAGTATGCTCCAGACTGATTGTGTAATTGTATCTCCGCCAATAAAAAGTATACATGTAGTGATGGTACTGGCCGCATTTTGAGACTCCAAATAGTTACCCGACGTTTGGATAAATGGCCTCAAATGTGCCAAACATTTGTTCACAGATGCCATCATTTTAATTCTTGCTTCGCATTCTTGCCAATCAACTGTGAAGTAACCAAGTCTCAAACCTCTTTTTACCCAATCTGGGAGATAAGTTCAACCTTTTAACTCCTGCAATTTTAACGCCTTGAGTATTCTTGTTACCTGTTTGCTGGATACTGTATGGATAGTACAGGAGAACTTACTTGTAAATCACTTTTGAGAGCTAAGGGTTAAACAGTTAGGAGCTACTCTGGTGGGCATTTTGTCGACTAAAAGAATGACTAACTTTGTGTCCCTGACCATGTTAGTAACAAATAGCAGCAGCCAAAAGGCCATTAAAGCACATTAACATGTCACTTGTCCTCATAATATCCACACATTATCCAGCAAGCAGGTAATAACAATACTCAAACTTATCAGTTAGAAGTTTTTATCTTGATCTAAAACCAAATTCTTATAACTAATTAAAATGTGCACCAGCTAGATGGGAGAATTAGCAATCTGAAATAAAATGTTAAAGGGTTAATCCTAAAGTGTAGGTGAAACTCCTAAATTCTTTATTCAGCCTGCACAATAACATTCAATTTTCAAAGCTTACCAAAAACTTTGAACAACATCGCCATAATAAAAAAATTATAGACATTTGGGTTTATCAATAAAATTCAAGTAATAATTTGTGTATGGCTCTATGAGTCCTAGCACTCTTACCTTGTACTTGTATTTGTTCAAGCGTTGGTAGTGAAGGAAATAATCGCAACTGAATCGCTGTTGTGATTAGTAACACAACTGAGAGGAAGATGATAAACATCTGTTTACAAAACAAAAAGAAAAACATACCATCTCATATCAACCACTGTGTATCTCTTGGATTCCACGATCATAAAAGTTTTTTTTATTGTGATGCAAAACATCTCATGTTCACAGATGTGCCAAAATCATCCAACATTCATCAGCTGTTCCTTGGTACACAATGACACATGTGTAACAATAATTACATTGTTACCTCTACCTAAAGAACTTTGTTAGTTATGAAAATAAGTCACTTCCTAATCTACATTACTAGTTGCCTTTGTTAGAAAACCTTGGAACAGTCAAGCTCGGTTGCCTCAAACACTGTCAGAGACTTTCAGTTCACATAATTTTTAATAGAAATTTCATGCCTTAGAAAAACAAATTAAAAGAAGGGACGACAGTTGACATCTTGACTGGTACAAACAAGGGTCGAGGGCCATTTATAAAGCTACGATTTTGAACGTTTGTGGTGAGTAAAATTGCGATATTCGTTACGTAATCACAATTTTTCAAAGAATAGATATAACGGCTTGAAGGTAAAATTTCCACACAGCCCCATACTACATTATGCATTCAGTTCCTGGATAGAGAAAACATTGACAGAAACAAGACATTGCCATACTATGAAAAAAACAAATTTGCTTTCCCAATGGGGCTGTGCGGGAACCTTATCCGGCTTGAATTAAGCTCATAACGCTCGGCGCAACTGAAACTAGAATAAATCTGAGAATCGAATCGGTCACTTGCATGCTGCAGTTTCTTAAGCTTGTGCTTTACAAAGAAATAAATTTATCAGTAAGGTTTCAAGATTACTTTAGTCACATTTTGGGAACATTCTAGATTCATAATACAAACAGTGATTAAACAAACCTTATTACATAAAAAAGCCCTCCTAGCTAAAAACAAAATACTGTATTCAGCCCTTTTTAGTAAAATCTATGAAAGAGATGTACTAACTCCAATATAAAAGTCATTCAATATAGCAGAGATTTCCCAATCCCAGTGCAATTTGTTAAATTGAGATTCCAATGAATGTCCTTTTCATTATAGCTATCTAAGGCCTTGGGTGAGCTTTTAATATATTTTTATATATATATTATATATATGTATATGTAAAATATACTTTTTCAAATTCAGATGTCATGGACATGACATCTTCTCGAGTTACAACGATTTTTAATCAAAATTCAAGGCTAATCGAAGAGAATTTCTGTGTGCAGTATGAATGTCGTTAAGTGTAAACATTTGCAAACCCATACAAGCATTAAAAAAGTCAGATTTAGAGTTCAGCCATTTAAAGAGCAGGTCTCTGCTTTAGGCAGATCAATCTCTTGGACTCCCAATAAATTAACTTTGAAGTTCTAAATGAATTGTACCAAATCCGGTCAGCGTAAGACACAGACTGCAAACCGCAGACCGAGCGTAAAATTCAGACGAAGACTGCAGAACAGGGGTAAAATGTAGACTCCGTTCTTCGATTGAAATTTATGGATATTCCTAGCTTATCTTAAAGACTAAACTTAAAACGAACTTGAGACTTTTACTTGCTCTTAATTTTTTTCAAATTAAGGAAGACTACGCCATTTTTCTAAAAACACGTCACAGCAAAACAAAATTTCTTAAGCATCCCTTGTCAGCCAACAAGAAGCCCAGCGTAGGTTAAGTTGACCATGATACCCAACGATTTATCTCAGGTTAATACTGAAGTAAAACACCGAGCGGAATAGGAGAGGCAAACGCCTGAGAATATTCTTCGGAGGTTTTTAATTACATTCTTATCTCGCAACCACAAATTTGCATTAAATTTAAAGAATTTGCACGCCTAACTTCGCAGCGCAAAACAAAGGTAAGACAAACAGGTTTTTATTATCCAAGTAATCGAAATTGCCAATATGCGATGAAAGTCTATCACTGATACTTTGAAGGCCGAATGAATTTCCATGAGCTGCATTTATGTTCAAAGCTACCTATAACGTTGCTCAGCAGAACTGTTTATTCCTTAACAAGGAAAATGTATTCAGCTGGCTGTTAACTGCATATTTAAACACTTACGTTTCTGATCGTGATGCAAATTTTCAACGGAAATGTGGATGAAAATTATCGCCGTTTCGTCTTCCTAGTGAATCATTCATGTATGTCTATACTCCACCGGTGTAAGGTAGCAAGGTTGAACAAACTGCATCAGCTCTTTAGGCGTATAGATCAAAGCTACTGACGGTGAAAGGTTACCTAATAAAAGTCCAGTTATAAGAATCCTCGACAAGGTTTCTGCTTCTTCTCTTATGAATTCCCTGCATAATATTTTCAATTAAACATTCTTTCCAGGATAACTATAATACTTCATTGCCTGATATAAAGAATTCGTCTCGTTCTTGATGGAAAGAATTCCCGACCATGTTTGTCAAGAGTTTCTGAAATTCTTGAAAGAATCGCAATCAAATTATTATTGTAGTAAAATTTTGGATCTTAGTAAACGAAAAAAACATTTTCGATCTCGTGACAAGTTCACAAAACCTATGTTAGCGATGGGTTGAATCTTTGATGAGTTGGATAGATGAAGGTTCTAACTAACACATTTATCTAAGTACCCTGCAAACGGGCGCGGTCCTAGAGGAACCTTAACGCCATGCAGCCATAAATTTAATTTTCACAGAAAGGTTCTTTCAAAATTCCTGAAACCATCACTTGTTTGATGAGAATTTGAAGCGATTCCGTAATTCATGTAGCTTTCGCACTTTGATCCAAATTTGGGCCTTCTTTCCACGGATACTTTGGAACTAAAGATGTCTAAGTACTAATGCACAAGCTCAGAAAGTTCGTCCACCAACAAACCAAAATAATTTTAGATTCGCATGACATTCGTTACCAGCCGGTTATTGCTCACATTATGTTTAAATGTGGTCTTTTGTGGGAACTTTAGAAATATACGCATGACTGACAGCATTCACTCTGAATTATCGATCACATTATCCACCGACTAATGGTCGGCACAGGCGGAGAACTCTTCTTTAATAGTATCAAATCAATAGCGTGCCATTTTTAAGCTCACAACGATTACCCTAAATCGATTTGCACGATGATTTCTTGGGAAATTCAGCACCTATTTTTAACGTGACACGAGCCACAATGAACTCAATTTTCGAAGTGTTAAGAACATCACAATTTTCGCGTACGCACACGT